CCTGACTTTCATTCAGTAGTCCCAAGTTCTGCTTCGGAAGTTAAATATTCAAGATAAATACATTAAGTCTCAGATTTCAGCATAGCCTTCTCCGTTCTCTGTGGTGCACAGCAAAGGACATGGGTTTCAGACCCTTCACCGTCTGGGTCTTTTGTTTTTCTCTGGACAGTTCGGAGGCAGTTGATGCCGCCTTTTGTATGTGGCCTCCAAGTTGGATACAGTCCTCCCGGTGGACACCGCTGCCGTTAGACTGCAGGAGTGAGGACGAAGAAAATGAAACGAGGGCCGCCAAGCCTGTGGCGCGGCTTCTGCTCTCCCGACTCTAACCTGACATCTGATTGGCCGCCTGTGGCAGGTTCTCTGTGAGGCCCTCTTGCCTCCACGTGGAGCTTGCTGACTCCGGTTCCAGAAGTTTTCATCGCTTCTCACAGACCAGGCTTTATTACTATAATATTCCCTGTACACTCTAGAAGTTGAATGGCCACTTTTTACTACAGCCCAAGAATCTTTAGGAGTTTGGAGGCACCTTTGAGTCTCCACTGTGCCTTTGTTTCTGTCTCTCATCTCTTTATATTCCTGGTTCCTAACTTGCATCTTTGTTTTGACCGATCAGATGTGCTTTACCTTCTTTGTGCATCTCTGCCCTTGTCCCCCCCCACCCCCCACCAAATGTTGCTATTTTCCTGCAATGAAGATCTTATTTCTCTTTGAATTTTGTGACTTGGTTTAACCCTGTCTTTCTTACTGGTTGAATTAAGTAAAATTGGCAGCTTTTATCTACCATTGTTCCGTTTATTCGCTGACTTACGTATTCGTCGAACATCTGCTGAGCGCTGTGTGCCAGGCTCTCTGCACCTCCAGGATGCAGCCTTAGTGGGGTGAGAGACTGCTCCTGAGTGGTGACCCCCCAGCGCGTGCGGGATGAGAGGCGGTGCTCACGGTTCCCGAGGACAGGCGCCCCGTGGGGAGCAGCTGAATCCGAAAGGGCAGTTTCACTCCGTAGCCGCTGCTTCCATACCCCTCCTCCTGCTCTGCAGGTGGTGCGGCCCCTTAGGTGCCTTCCCCCCACACTTGAATTAAGCCCCACTGCAGTGGCCCGGTTGGTGGACACACCTTTGGTCTGTTGTTCAGCAAGATAAGCCAATCTGACTGTTTTCAAAGCCCCAGTTTCTGATTCTGTCAGTGCATATTTAAAAAATTTCCCTTGCCCAGCCGGCGTGGCTCAGTGGTTGAGCATCAACCCATGAACCAGGAGTTCAGGGTTCGAGTCCTGGTCAGGGAACATGCCTGGGTTTCTGGCTCAGTCCCAAGTAGGGGGCATGCGGGAGGCAGCTGATCAATGACTCATTCTCATCATTGATGTTTCTCCCTTCCTCTCTCTGAAATAAAAAGTAATATATATATTAAATAATTTCTCTTGACCCTGTCACCTAACGTTTTTGCTAAACCCATACACGGATGTTTAGAAGACTCATTGGATCTGAATAGAATTTTCTGGCAACCCTTTGTTCTCTACTCTCGGGATCTTTGCTG